ACCCAATCCAGGAAGAAGGAGGGAGAAAGAGGCCGCCCACCGAAAGCAACGAAAACAATTAAAATGATAAAAACAGTTACGGTGCTCTACCCATGCAGCCAAGCAGAACGGCGGCAGCGCGTTGAAAGCAAAATAAATTAAAAAACCAACGGGCCTGCATGAGTGTGCGTGTATGCATGAGCACATTACGTGTGTGCCTCGTGGGGTGGGGCGAGGGCGACAGGCCGTGCAGGAGGACACACATAAAAAGAGAGAAACGAAGGGACGGAGGAGCTGCGCACGGCTCCCTCACGCGGCCGCCATCGCAGCAGCCGCCGCACACGCAAGAAGAAGCAGCGCAAGGGGGGAGGTGCAGTGCGAGGCTGCAGTGCTGCCGTCGCTGTCGACTGGCGCCACCATCGTTTTCGTAGTGCTGTTGACCGCTTGGGCAGCTGCCCCCGCTGCGGGTTTGGAGGCTTGGTTGTCTCCCCCACCACTCGCTTCCGGTTGTTCGTGGGAGGTGGACACTTCGGTGTGGTTCTGTTCCGCCTGACCAGCTTCGTTCGTCGTCATGGGGCTCGACGGCCTTGACTGCACCGCGGGGCTGCTGCCAGTTTCAGTCATACTCGCGGTGTTACTTGCATCCTTGGCGGGGGGCCCTGCTGCTGCGGCTGATGGTGCTGCGCTGTCACTGCTCGGCGGCGCACCGGCAGCAGCACCACTGCCATCTGCAGGAAGAACGGTTTGCGGTGTTTGTGCCGCACTTCCAACTGATGTATCACTGGCGATATGCGATGAGCCTGCGGCTCCATTGCTGTGCACAACTGTGGTAATGACCACCGCCTGTTCAGATGGCTGTTCTTGTGACTGTGGCTGCGACGGCAATTGCACCGGTGACGGCAGCGTTACTGGTGTTTTTCCAGGTTGTTGTTTACCATCTGGTGTCTCTTCTCGACCTTCAATTCCCACGCTGCAGTTTTTCCCTCCCGAAACCCCATTTTCCCCCTCACAGCTCTTCACATCGTCATCCACTCTCTGAGGGTGACCGCTATTTGCGGCGACACCCTCTTTGCCGTCCACACCGTTTCCAGTTGGATTATCCCCCTCGACCGTACCAGACACAACCCGCTCCGCCCCGGCCTGCAGACTCGCCCGCAGCCGCTTCACAAACTCCGGCTTGCGGCTGCAGTACTGCCCCTCAATCTCCGCCTCCGCCATCTCCCTCGCGACCGCCCTCAAGTCCCTCCAGTCACTCTCCGTGCAGTAGCCGCCGCCCCACGCACCGACACCGCCGCCGCCGCCGCAGCACAGCACGCAGAGGGCACACACCAACAGCACACGGCCAGCCATCCTCACTCTTGTCACCGCAGCACACACACACACACAGTCTGGCGAGGGGCGAAGAGAATAAGGAGGAAGAGAAGAGGGTGAAAGTGAGACGCAGACCAGGAAGAGGAGGGTTGTGCCCACCAGCGTGGGAGACGCCTGCGCACGGCGCAGAGAAGCCACAAAAAAGAGCACCGGGCACCACCCTTCGAGGACGCAGCAGCGAGACGCAGCCGCACCATCGTCCCCCGCACACTTCATTCACCGTCCACCCCAAAACGCACACACACATGCAAGGGCGAAAAGCAAAACAAAAAAGAACTCTCACACACCGAAGCATAAAAAGCCACGACGCAAAGGCGAAGCACGACGCTCCCATCGTGCGAGGGCGAAAGACACGCGGAGGAGAAGCCAGCCGCACAGCGCACCCACACAGCCGCAACGCGAAGGACGGGGCGGATCCACGTCCCCCGCACACTCTGCCGCTGCTGCATATTTGCCCTCACCCATCCGCATCACACCGCACGGCAGGCTGCGATGGGTGGTGCACCACACACTCGCAGCGAGACACGCCGCACACCCCGCACATTCTCTCCCTCCGCGGCGGACGCCTTCAAAGCGGCGGACGCCTTCAAAGCGGCGGACGCCTTCAAAGCGGCGGACGCCTTCAAAGCAGCAGACGGGCGCACCGTCACTCCCGTG